ACATACAGATGTGTTTCTCGTAGCGTCAGTGACCCAGACAAGTAGGCAAATGTCGTTCTTGGATTCTGGGTGTTTAATAAGGGTAAAACTTTTGGTGAGTATCCACCTGTTTCAAAAGAAAAGTTACTCGGCCATCCTGATTAGGATGCATTTATTACAATCGCTCTGGCACAAATTTGTTGTATGTGGGACTGGAGCCTTTATATCAATATAAAAAATGTTCAAATTCGCTGCAGGTCCCCTGGGTGATGAGTAAGTTCGGTTTCGGCTTATAAATCTGTTTAGGATTTGGTCCCATTGTGGAGCTTATACACAAGTTTCATGTCCGGTTTTATTTTATTCACAAGATTGTGCTTCAAAATCAAACAGTGTAAGACTGCCATGTACTTGCATAAATGCATATTCTCTGGATAGCTACTGCAACGCTTCCCAAGTACTTTCATTGCTATGTCAGTTTCGACATAATTACACTTCGTTGTTGCATCTTGCTGTTCGTATGCATAGACTTCCCCTATTCAGAAGTTTTCAAAAGTGGATATTTATTCTCATGATGGTCTACTTCTTCATTTGCCATTGTATAGCAAAAGACAGAATGGTTGTGAAAAGGGATATAGTTGCATAACGCGTTATTACTGTCAGTTGGATCGAGATCCATTATTAGGCAGCGGTTGCTCAGGCCGAATTGCAAAAAACGCGCCAGATACCTATCTATTCATCAAGATCCGTCAGTATGGATGTGGCCGCAGTTATGGTATTTTCCATTTTTCTAAGACCATGCCTTCAGTGAGCGTTCGGAAGAGCGTTGGGGCTGTCATAGCCTGCTCACTGGACCATTAAACACTCACAACAATCGGCTTACTGTCAGGGCGCGCCCAGACACAAGAAAAAGCACATGTGCAGAGAGTGAAGCATCCCCAAGGTCACCACCGGTTCGACACGTCCGGAAAGTAGGTGAGTTGGCGGCTTTCACGAAACACGGCTCTCACCAAACGGCTTAGCAGCACACGACCAGCGTAGTGGGTCTGAGATTGTTCACGGCCGGAACACCACCACTGGCCGTACGGAGCGAACAAGTGAACGACCCTATGTGGCCATTTAGTCATCCTATATATTTACGCAGAGGCTCTGTACGTTTTGTCCTGGCAATGCAGCCGTGTCCGCAGTTCTCTGTCTTCTCCCTATCGCGTAGTCTGGGAGGCTCGGTGCAGGTGTAACCCAATAGCTCGGCCACCGCACAACACAACACTTGCAGACTACACTCCATCTCTGTATGCCTTTATGTCTAACACCTCTGGATGTGTAACTTCTCGATGGACATTTCCAAGAATAAACCACGAAAACATTAATTTTCGTTAACCAGTGGCGGGAGGCTCTTCGAACACTTGTTCGATTGCAACATTAGTTTTTGATGGACTGTTAGGTCAACGTCAGATTTAGTACATTCAGACTGTATCTTCAGTAAGGTTCGTTTGGCCGTAGACGATATCGTCGTCGATGGACTTCCATTTTCATATTTTCAAGAATTCTGGAAGGCTGGTTGTTCTAGGATGTTGTGTCTAATGTTAAGGTCGACACATTACATTTGGTCCTAGCCGACACGTAAATGCGGTCGTTGCCATCAACCACATAACTATCGACCACAAGTTCATCGTATCTCTCCCATCCCGTTAAAATATGGGCCAGGAACAATAGTAAGTTAGAGGCACCTCATTTCCCTCGGTTTCGCAGGGCATTTTTGTTCCGGTGTTCTGTTAAAGACACATCTGGTAATGTGCACAAGACTAAGGAGGCATAAAATTGTGTTAAAAACCCGACCCACATTTCAATAACTTAACGCGACATGATGTGCAATTACTCGTAACTCTCGAATGCAACCCATGCGTAGCTATGGATGGAAACAATTATTAATTCTCGCACTGTCATTTTGCCAAACATCAGAAACCACCTTATTTCCAAGGTCTCCAGAAGCGTGAAAAATGAGTGTACGTGCGGCATAGATAGCTGCTGGAAACGGACGCACACGATCGAAGTGATCGAGCCGGTGTGACTTTTTGTACACATTAGAAAACTTGAATAAATATGCATCAAGTTTCGTAAAATTCAGGAACAGATACAAAAATGTTACCTTGGAAAAATGTGCCCTTGAAGCCCATGGTCGTGTCATTTCATCTTGATATTGTGACAAAACAGGGAAAATAATGTACCTAGCAGTAAATCTGCAACCCGTTCCCATCGTAGAGATGGATCGCGGCCAAATTTTAAATATTATGTTTATATTCGCATCACTCTCGTTTGAACAGTCATCCTTCTGTCCTGGCGTAATTACTCTCGTGAGTCCACACCAATGGTTTGGAGCACTGGACTCGAATTACGGTCAATCACCGCACGCTGGACGCATCTCAATTTTCACTTCTGCAAAGGCGAACGTGCTCGTGATTGAGTGATGCGGTTGGTAGTACAAGTAATTAGACCAGAAAGTAAACATCTCATATTTACGTAGTTATTAAGGACTGGATATTCCCACGCGTACTATTGAACTTTCCTGGATAATTATTGACTATTACACAATAGTAAACGAACACTGAAGACTAGTTCCACAATTTATATAATAAACTTCACGTTTCATCAGATGCGGTGGTGGAGCTTTGGCATCAAATCATACATTGCTCGCATTCCTCACCAGTTACACCTGGTGGCTGGCCGGGCCTAGGAGCTTTTACTTCACTGGGTTAAAGTGAGTTGTCTCGGACTTGAGTCGACGCACCTCAAACTGCTTATGTACAGTGTGCTTATCATCAGCCACCGCTTTTAAGGACAGTACCTAGTGGCTATGCCTGGGGGTAGAAGAAGCTCATGTGACTCAAAACCGGGGTTGCTGTTCTGGAGGGTCCAGGTCCATCTTGCGAATTTCGCTGGATGTCCCCACAATATGGATGTTGAGCTTAATTAACTGTACCGAGTGGGTGTTAACCACCCAAACTACACGTTTTCCTTTAACGGATATAATCCGATCCCATAAAATAATGACATTGACCATACTCGTTTGACTCAAGAACCCATTGGCACCTAAAATTCAACCCCTCTTTTTTCTTGACTAGAAAGTATGCATCCGTGATTTTCAACTAATGTGATTTTTGGTACATAAATTTGTATTGTATTAGCCAATCACACAAAACAAACTTTCTTCGCTACGATAGCCCATTTTATAATCCTTCATTTGTAAACCATGTGGCGCAGAAGCAAATCTTCATGACATCATCCTTGGCTTTTCTAAAAATATGAGCATAACCTAGTGGCTCTCATTGAAGCCATATACTGAGAACTTTGATTCATTCTCTACGATTAGGACGGTGCAAAAAAGTCCATACGTTCCGTAGAATTCGTTTTCAGTGGGCACTATAAATCTCAGAGATATTTTACAGTAGTGTCGGCAGCTTTTTCATTTGTATTTGTGGGATACAATGGATTCGTTTCAACTAGTCGGTGAAGAAACTTCTGTCCGTCAGGGTCACTATGATGTTTGATTACCTATAATTTATTCCTAACTGGTGACAAGTGGAAGGCTCTTCACAGCATGCGTTGTCTGCAAGCCCACATCCTCATTGATCTACTTATCAGACGGATCACATCTATGAGGGCCATGACGTAATTTAGAGGTATCTTCACCTGTGTTCCTGTCGGTGAGCGCACTGACTGACTGACTTTTGTCCTTCTCCATCACGAAAACCGTGGTGGTGACAGAAAACGATCAACGACAAGAGTAGTGTAGTCAAATTACAATTTAATTACTAAGTGCGCTAGCTGATACTATGTATTATGGAATGTAACCAATGATACTGTGATTAAATCGCTCGTCACAGTACAGGCTCTGAAAGGTTGGGCGCCCACAACAGATGTCGTCCTTCTTGGGGCACATCAGATAGGTGAGGCTTCCGAGTTCTCGTCAGCACTATGATTTTATTGAACACTAAAGTACACGCAACTGGCGAAATACACTAATTTGCAGAATCAATTGGCGTTGACGGGAAACCCAACGGAATCTCCCGTTCATAACATTCTTGTGCTACAAGATAAAAGTAGAAGACCTAACAGTATCGTCAGGAGTTGAGGACTACCATAAATGAGAAGGTTTATCCGAATGTTCAAATAACACCAGCCTAATCTGCGAACTGCCTATTGCATACAAATTAGTATTGAATAAGAACATGCTTGACGGAACTTCGGGTGTCTCATGAGTCCCCAAAAGGGTGATATTGGTCATGTGCCGTCCAAGAGTTACCGAAGATCTTATGATCAGTGCGTCCCATCAAAAAAATACACCGCAATGTCTAGAATATCGTATTGTGAAAGCGTCTATTGTGAAAGACACTTAGTTGGAGAATACCATAAAAGAGAGGTATGGTTGAGTCTGCTTTTGACATCAGCCTAGTTTGCAAACAAATATATTTCACTTACAGCGTTGTATTCACGCTGTCCAGCGAGCATAGTGAGCTGCCGACCAGAACAGTGATTACTTCTACCTAAATAAACAAGCGCACACCAAATGCGCCTCCTAATAAAATTAAAACCCTGAAGGGCGATCTGCCGTTTAGGTGTAGAGTGGCAAGCAGAGGTTTACTTTGGTTTGAAACATCACCAATGCCTGCGCGGCAGCGGATCCTCTACCACTTACCAGGTCGGTATCCCTTTGAGGTGGATTTTCCGGCCACCTAATAAGCAAGCTACGGTTTAGCGGTATGTCCCTGGTCCTTATGGGAACTTTATTACTTTGATGCTCACAGGATTACCGATACGGATGAATGTGCAATTTGACAGAGGGAGTAGTGCGCAAGATGAGTGCTGATAAACGGGGAAAGTTGATCAGGCTAGAAAAAAACTAAACTAAAAGCTAGGTTTTAGGAATAAAACGGTCAAAACGTGCGTACTAGTCCCACGGATTTTGAGAATTGCTGATCTAACAAGCATTCATTGCACGTAAAGTGGGTTAAGGGAGGAGAAAACTAGAATCAGTGAGTAATGCATAAATCTGCTTAAATCTCGGCTATATACATCAGGGGGCGGGGACGGACAGCTCGAAATACAAACAACTTTACAAATTAACCGCTGGCATGTTAAATTTCAGTTTGCAGTTATCAAAAAGCAGAACGAATTGGGCAAGGTGGTCATGAATTATATCTGGAAAAGAAAAGGAGAAAGGACAATTAGGAGGATCTATAAAGAATTATGAATGGCTGATGCACAGAACGTCAGGACTGTCAGCATTCCTAAAGCTAACCAGTCGCTGGCTTGGACATGTCGGGAAATAATCAATCATTGTAGTATAAACAAACAAGATAGAAGAAAATACTAACGTCTATCCCGTTTGCATTCGAAATGTGGACTTCCACCACCACGGATTCGCATACTCGTTTATTTGCGACATGGAATGGCACCATAAAAATATTTAAGCGATCATTCAAGTAGACTTTTTTCGCTAGACAGAATGGGGACGCAGGGGATGCTGTGAAAACTCCTCGGAAGTTCGACCAAAAATATATGGCATATATATGGGATAATTAAACATGCAGACATGAGATAGAAGAACCTTAATGATGGGACATCAAAATAGGACAAAGAAGCTCCCACTGCACTGGGTGAACAAACAACTGACATAAAGGAAAGTACTCACAAGTTTGCTGAAAACTCTTCGACAGCCCACGACCCACACAAACAATCAGAGGCATCGTTCATTAGTCGGTAGCTGTCAGCTGCTTCTGTACTGCATATCGACCGACTTAATAGGACTTGCGTGGCACACTGAAGTGCGTACACGTTCCTAACCAAACTGAGAGCCATTGCCATCATCTGAGATTTTCACGCATTTGCATACACATCTTGACAGACTAACAGCAGTCCTGTGGAAATTATGTGACCGAATGACAATTACGTAGGACGAGAATAAGCATCTAACCTCTACCGTGATAAGTGAAGCTTGGTGGTGGAGATAAGGATGAATAGGTTTCATAAGTTGGAAGACTAAAAGATTCGCGAGCCAGGCCATCGCGGGTTGAAAAGCCGATTTATTATGGCTATGGAGCTCAGGCGTTCCATTAGCCTTGCCGCTGATGAATATGAGCACCACCGATCAGATATCAACAAATGGCGAGAGGTGATTCCTCCACAAAACATTGAGGTTTACTTTCATGGAAAACATGCAATGCACCCCTGGACGACTTTTCACTGCCGGCAAAGTGAAATCAAAGAACATCTAGAGAGCTCATCACAAAGACACCGAATAATCCACTAGGCTTATCGGAGTAAGCCTATACAAATGGTTGTATTGGTGAACAAATTAAATTAACTAGGCGCCAATCGACGTGCGATTGGTCTTCATATTTTGTGGCGAGATGGCTCAATGGTTGGAGCGCGAATTTACTGACCGGAAGGTCTGTGGTTCGCACTCGACATCTGCTTCTCTTGTTTGGGCTTGGGCAACCTGGCAGTATCTCAGCCCTGGTGCTTCTTTCAGGTGGCATGGTAGCTAAGCACCGAAAGGGGGCTACAGCTGAACGAATTTTTGGATTGTTTATACCCCTCCTCGTTCATAGGCTAGGAAAAAACACGGCGACGAGGGTAGTCTGGAATGTAGAAGAGTTAGCCGACAAAACTGTTGTTGAAACTGGTTGGGAACAACCACCTAGTCCCCAAGGTCTAGTACGCACCGTCAAATCACCGGGTAAACGCGCTTTTATTGATTGCAATTTGAATGACCAGAGCTTATACCCAAGTTTCCGTAACACATGTACGAAAAATGTTCAAATTAGGACTTAACATAAGAATGGTGCCAGGATAACAGCAGAACCACTCAGATAAAAAGTCAGATCGGCAGTCCAAAGTAATCCTGAATGCAATGCTTTGGAAATCGGTGGTCATTATTTATCCCACTGAACGACCGCCTCCCCACCTTGCATCACTTGTTTCAGCAAAAAAACGTAAGAACACCTTTCACGGCGCACAGATTAGAATGGAGCTTATGTTCAAGAAAATATTCATGTTACGGGAACATAAGGTGAACGAACAAAATCCAATTGTTAATGAGTGAGGAAGTCTACAAACGAAGTTGTGACCAGATCTGACGTATTACTGCATTATGTCCAGTGAAGCATAAGTACATTTCATGCTAGGCGTATGAGAGGTCCTTATAAAAATACCAGTGAGAATTTCACAGAATTTAAGACGACCGCAGTGGATGACGAATCGAGTATTGTTCATCACCTAGAATGGGCTGGTTTAGAATTCGACCCACCATACACGGTCAGTGTAAATTTTTGGCAATACAGCTGGTAAGCAATGCTGAGTTATCGTCGGTTTCTTCTCGATAGTGAACCCACACATGATAAGCATGACTCAGAATCGAATTCAGTCTTAAAAAAAAGATAAAATCCTGGTATGAAGATGTCTAATTTGGGTCGATGAACATTGGCGATCGCTGGAACCAGGTAAAAGAATTTTTCCTGACCAATTACACATACGCATACGTAATTTTCGAAGCTCTCACAACGTGAATTGGTTGATCTCACGAATGGAGGGATTGTTCACGACAGATCAATGTATAGACGATGCGAAAATCGACGAACGGCACAGCAGGCCACAGAAGAAGGAATTAACAGCATTCGGTCGCACGTAAACGTATTCCCAGTGAACAAAATACCGTGTACGCTGAGCAGAACATGTTAGAAGGGAAGCACCTTAAGTGCCAAAAAGTAAAGACGAGTCATATAGACGATGGGCTTACTGCATACAAAGCAGGACAGAGGAATACGGGGACTGGACATCAGTTGAGCGAACCGGCGAATATCCAGACTGGCAGAGACGAAACGCTGATCAGCCGCATCCGAAGCCGTAGTGTCTATATCGTTGGGCAGTTCGAGTCGCGAATCTCGAAACGTGCCCCGGGTAACATCATCGCCATCGCCTCCCCAGATAGCACTGCGAGGCTCTTCTGAGTTGTCACCATCGGCCCCCTGAGTAGACCGCGACTGATGTTCCGGAAGCCAGCTGCGAGCACGAAGTCCGCGAAAGGTGAGGCGAACACGGGCTAAAGTTTCTACATTCACCCCGAGATGCAGCTCACCTGCGCCATTAGCGCTGATTAACTAAACCGACGATTAAAAGAAATGAAATAAGAAAATGTACCAGTGAGCGAAATACACTCACTCGCATAACAACTCTGTTTTGACGTGAGACTCACCTGGAACTCAGTTGAATCTCCTGTTAATAAGCATCGTACGTGTAAACATGTACCAGCCATTTCACAGAACCCAAGTGAACATAAAACAGAGGAAGAATCTTCACGATCATCGATTGCTCTTACGTTTAGACAAAACAGAGAATAGGTTCACGCGAACCGGTACCTTGATTGACTAAAGCTTCACGGTGACCTGCAATTCTGGTGTCGCAATGTGCGATGACGGGAGTTGACCCGACTGCATGCAAAGCCAACGTAATGTTTTGTCAAGAAACTTGAATTAGCTGCAGAAAATTGAGGCAATTGACTGGTAATGAAAAGAAAATAATAAGTCACTCATCGCTGGCAGACAGGAGTGCCAAAATACACACGTTCAAAAACTCAGAGGTGCAACTCTCCTAAATGCAGGCGAAATTCGAGCAGAAAGTGGATAGCCACTAGCCTCTATCTGATTTCAAAATTCGTCCATCAAGGAAAATACCAGTCTATTAGCAACATGATGTATTCGACTGTAGCAGATGGACAGGGATCTCCTAGGGCTTCAGGATAGATGAGACATCATTCCTGTCCACATGGAAAGTAGTCAAAAGTCGGGAATGGCTGAAAAAACTGCTTCACAAAAACTGCTGCATGCAACTTAGAAGGATTAATGAATATCTATGAGCTTCTCTTGCCATTGAATAGGTATCGTGAAAGTTGTATCAGTTTTGACTGTAGTGTGGCACACAAGGTCAATGCACGGATCTGTAAGGCTTGGATCGGTGAAAGTTGATCAGTTTTGACTGTAGTGTGGCACACAAGGTCAATGCACGGATCTGTAAGGCTTGGATCGCATTTGCTAAATGGGGACACCGAGGGCATCAAAACAGTATATCCCTGAAACACAAGGGACGTGCGTAGCAGGCTAAAGTACAGGCAGCTTTGTTGCATGGCTGTGAAACCTGACCTGTCCGATAAGCAAATCTGAGACATTTTCAGGCCTACGACAACCGTTGTCTCAGAACCACAGGTCGTGTGGGTTGGTGTCAGCAAATCCGTAACCAGGCAACGGGCGCAACCGGTACTTTCATTGGAGAATGTGTAACGCACCAGAAGCTTCGTTAGTTAGGCCATTTATGGCATCGTTTACCTAACACAGTGCTGTTTTCGATGCCCATTTTAGAGGTGACCCACCCTTGAGCTGGCAGAGAGGTATGAAAGGGATTACAAAACGTTTAGATGCTGTCGGTGCTACTCCTGAATGGGAACAGAGCGAAACCCACAGCGCCTGATTGAGGACGCTGCAAGATGTGACTGCTATTCGCTGTCAGTGGCTTTATACTTAGTTTCTATTCAGCTCAACTGGATGAGTGTCTGGAGGTGTATGTACCTCGAATAATTGTGGTAGGCTAGTACTATGTCCCTTCCCATCCACTTTCATTAGTTTTTTCTCCAAAATAAGGCTTCTAAATAAACCGTGGTTGTAGGACAGAGAAGCATCAGTGTTCAACACTGACGTCATACTGTGGATGATGATGAATACCGCAAGCAGATTAGAATAAAAGATAATGTAATCACAAATGCTCTCCAAACACTATTGGGCTCTAATCTTTTTACGCGTTTGTTTATGGAACACAATGAGTACAAAGTATCAAGACGATCCCCCTCAAGCAGTCTGAAGGAACCTATGCAGGAAATCAAAGATGATATCCAGAGCCTAGCGGAGGGCCCTCAATTAAAGTTATAAATTGCAACTACATGACGAATCAGTGAGCATACTGGCCACAGTTCAACACGTTTCCACAAGTCAGTGTCTTGAAAATAAGAACGGGAGAGCAAAGAAAAAGGTTACGGAAATGATGGGTGTGGAATACCGGTGTCGGTGATAAGTGAGACTCAACGACGAGTTGTAGGTACAAAGTAAATATTTCATTCACGTCTTGAATGGAACAACTCACTATAAATTTGGCGAAGCGTTTCATTCGGTCAACAAACGGTCTCAGAATCTTGACAGAAGGAAAGAAAATGCTGACCTGCATACAATGGGAAAATAAATAGAGCTGAGCGGTCGAATGCAACGGGTGAAATAAATAACAGCATTTTAAAGATTAAAAGATACGATGGTCTACTTGGGGTGAGGCTTAATGAACCGAAGCGGGACGGGGCAATGGTTTTGAAAATGATTACAGGGCAAACTGCGACCGACCGCTCCATGTGTACCTGGTCAGTCAGTCTAGAGACGATGCGCTCCGTCTGGAACCAGGGTCAAACGGAAAAATGTGGTAATTTGTTTCGTAAGACTCTTAGCATGTTTGATTTCAATTAATCGGACTTCGGGGAATAAAATACACTGGTCACATGATCACTGGACTTGTTATACACCGAAAAGCTAGTTACTTCTGCCTATTTATTTTCCTCGTTACAGTTCCGAGAAATAAAAAAAGGCAAGTAAAAAAGCTGGGAACCAGATGGTCGGTTTTGGCCACAGATCAAACCCTGAATGAAGCAGTATGAACTGCTCTTCAACCGTAGGCTGACAGCAGACGGAACACGGCTACTGAGTAACGTACAATAAAACGTACATCGAAATCTGGATCTGGAGGTTCAATGAATTCGTTCCAAAGTCGTGGCGGGACGACATGAACAGGAAGGAAGTGCCAAACAGCACGTGAACGACCGGTGATACTAGCCTGAAGAAAAGAGTTAATGAAACTCTTCAAGTATGAGGAAACTGGGGAGATAAGAGGGACAAGGGACACTGGTGGAAGGGTTTGTGGTTGCGTTTAGAAATTAAACGATGAAGGAGATATTTCCTTATATACCAATATTCCATCAAAATCAGCTGAAAAAACCAGTTTCCTTTCACATATATGAGGCTATATCAGGTGTTGAGAACGTTCGCCGAATGCAAAAAAATACACGCAGGTGGTTTAGCTGTAACTAAATACAGAAAGCTACGCGTAACAGAGAAAGACCACACACACGCAGCTCAAAAATCTTCACATTCAACTTCAACATAACACATTATGCAGACTGAAAACTCGTACAAAGTGAGCAAGTTTTTCCATCGAAGAGAAAGTTGTAGACAGTCTCAGGCTTGTTTACGGATTTGCTTGTGAACGTATGGACACCAAACATCAATGTACCACATCCACAACACACAGACGGTGCAACATAGCCTGGTTAAGCGAACAGGACGACAGCCATGGCGAAATTTCTAATGAAGTCAGCATTTTTCTCCATCATTGTTAGCTGTGTACTCTTTACCACTGCTGTCGACAATGCTGTTATCGTGTTGTAATGACAGACTACCTGAATCCGGTAAATAGGATTTCCAGAAAAGACGAAACTTGCGTCGTTTCACAAGAGTGAAAATCGGACGGAAAGCATCACGAGACTGGATATGGCACTGGTGGGGTATTAACGGTGCCTAGGGGCCTCACTTGTTTGCATTTATTTCGGAAATAGGTGTAGAAAAAATCACTCAGCCTTAGCAGCTTTCGGTGCCTCACTATCATGCCACCCGCAGGTTGCACGAGGGCTGGGATACTGCCAGGTTGCCCAAGTCTAGACAGGGGAAGTCTAGAGGCAGAGGTTGGGTTTGAACCACAGACCTTCGGTCAGTAAATTCGCGCTCTAACCACTTGAGCCATCTCGCAACCTGAATACGCATGCGAGACTAGTGATTTCAATTTAGCTCTGATTCGACTGGGATCAGTTCTTCGCGTATCGACCAGTACGGAACGGAATGAAGGGAAATTCACAAACTACACTAAAATGAGCATAAGCAACCAAGAAAGCTTAGACCACATGCCGGTTGTAAGTAACCTGTAGAGCAGATGATGGGGGACCTCATGATCACAGACATTGATGGGAAATTGCGAGCAGGTTTACCTACACTGTGGTGGGAAGATTAATATGTAACAGAATGAGCATACTTGGAATAAATTTATCTAGGAAAACGAAGTGAAGTTTGGTAGATATGAGTAGCAACAAGGGCGATTCAATAAACCAGGCCAAAACCCACCTGTTCCAGCTCGATAGCGAGACAAGGTACTTTTCGCCGGACTAGTTTGATCTTTAACCCATGTACAGTGGGGAGAGTCTGATGAGTCGCTGGACCAAAGCTTGCGTAACCGACTTGGTTCACCGATCCGGTAGTCAATGGTCCACCAACTACAGCCGAAGTCGAGGTGGCGAATGTGGTCCCACTAGTGGTGCCACCAGAGCCCATACGTAGACAGTGCATCAATTGGTCCAACACAACTTCAAGCAGGATTTCGTCCTGGTCAGCTGACAGGCCTTCGCAAACACGTTCCGAGAAGAGAGCTGCCTGAAAAACCGTAGATTATTTGCGAAAGACTTACATGGTCCAATTCGCACCAGGCTGAAACACCTCCAAAAACGGCACGTTCTTTGATAACAAAAGTCAAGTTATCCTTGTTCAGTCGAAAGATCGCATTTTTGGTTAATGTGGATACCATGTGAACAATATCTGGAGGGGGGAGGGGTCAAAATAATGATGCAGTGCATGCATGAATTGTATTGTCCAAACAAGACGTGATAAAACAGCGCCATGCACTTGATCACAGTCATTCACTTAAATTTCTGATTTGTTTTGCATGCCGACTGAATAAATATTTGACGAGTATCAATAATACTTCCTAGGCATCCTGCCTTTCACTTGAAAGCCTCATACACGGGGAACAAGGAGCTGAGAGACTAGCAAGTCAACGTTAACCACGCAGATAAATGCGAGTTCGCTGATAGTGTGAGGATATTTAGCAATCTTACTATGGATGTTTTTCAGCTCAACATAGAGTGGCTTCACTTACAGAATGAAATCTCCAGTGACATGTGAACTCGCCTTCATGCCTATGTCTTAATCCCTGTCATCATCACTTGTCGTCACACGAGCTATGAAATACTTGTGATCGGTACTTTGAAAAGAGGCCGCACGTAGGCTTCGTTATAAAAAACCAACATGAATTTTGCACTTGGTGTCGAGACCAGAGAGATGCGGGACTTCAGGCCACTTCCGATTCTTGGGTATAGCGGAAAAATATGAGTTGATGAAAGAAATAATACATTCACTCAACAAAAACCTGAAGAAAATGGCTTGTTCAACAACCACTAACCGCTGCACATTAGCTAGGACACCAAATTCTTCATTTCTTTCTAGGACACCAAAAAGCGCAAAAGCATAGGAGTATATGACGGCCACTAGTAGCTGCGAGGTGGGACTGCGCTCAAACTCGAATTAAATACAAGAAGGAAGACGTGCAAGCAAAATGATAAAAGGTTTTTCTCGACAGGTGGAGCTACTTAGTAGTGTGTTAATTGTCCAGAAAATTAGGAAAAAGACCAAATTAAAGTGCTGCCTATAAAGGGAGATGACATTCTAGAAGAGGGGTCAAAATTATTCGAACTAGGAGAGATTGGCCGTCCCTGATAAGAAAGTGCGGATTTGTCAACCTACACGGAATAAAGACGGGATTGATTGCTGGAGGAACTAGTTAACGGATACGGAACCGGTCACAGTAGTTACACTATTAGCTCAGTCCGTTCAATTTAGGTCTGCCGAAAGGATTTTCTTTCATGCATTGATGACTGATGGTCGGCTCCAAGTACATCTCTTCAAGTTCGTCCGAAAGGTCTAAACCTTACAGAAGTAGATCGGATGGTAGCGTGTTCCTAAAAATGAAGGATTACACGGCAACGAAAACTTCTACCTACTCCAGAGCACTGTGATTGAATTTCCAAACCTGTTATACATACCCTATACATATCTACTCATCCACATTCAGCCCAATTACACCAAAACGAGTCTACCTCAAGCAGACACAAAACTCTTATTTGCTCTTATCCATATGCAATTGGGAAACTGTTTAACTCTACAATTGAATGAACCGCACAAACCACAAACTTGAAGGGAAAACAAGTGACGGCATTTATCGGCAGGCGAAGAAAATGATTGTCATAACCAAGAGATGTTGTTGTTCAAGAAAACAAGATTGGTGGTCAATTTGGCCTGCAGTTTAGTATGATCTGACCAAACGCACTACCGTGAGCATCTACTCAACTTCATCCTCTAGAGCAACTGCTGTGGACTAGGTGGCACTAGGTGGACCGGGGGCCAAAATTATAGTGGTGATCACCACTAACGCTGTAACATTTTGTTTTCTGGTGCAGATTGATCTCTGTGGTCACTGGAAGCTGCAGAGTCCATGTGATTGGCGCTAAAGTTAGGGCATTCGAAACCACAATACCTTCACCAGGATTCGAAATGGCATTTAGACAATTTGTAGAAAAAAAGACTCGAAAACCTCGATGAATGACAATTGATGTACCTTGTTATTACGTTTACAGTTTTCCGGCTTGAGTACTACAGTAAAACATCGCCATTTGTTTATTGAATCCCACTAACTAAAACCTTCCCAGGCTTGAAAGCTTTGGAAAACGCAGACCCATAATACGCTTTGACAGTTCAACTTTCGGCTTCACAATGTAAACTGCACTTAAGGACACTATAAGAGAGGAGAAAATACAAAAAGCATTGGACCAACAAATATTCTCCGATAAAACAAGTGGTTGGCAGACGCAAGTATAAGAAACTTCAAAGATCGAAAAACCAAATTAGTTTGCAAATGAGTGTACATTTGCTAATTTCGTGCAATTTGGTTTAAAGTAGAACATAAGGTTGACGGAAACCCGGGGACTGCGCCTACCTGATGAGCCCCAAAAAGAGCGAAACCGGTCGTGGGCTGTCCACGGATTTTTAGCAACCTTATGAGTAGTACATTACAAAGATACACATGTATCGCGATATCTCGAGTAACGTAGCGACTGAAACATGAGGCGGCCTGGTGCACCATATTCAGTTTCCTGAAGACATCACAAACGAGAGATTCAGCTGGGTTCCAGGTGAGTCTCTCGAAAAACCAAATTAGTTTGCAAATGAGTGTATATCCGCTAACTTCCAACATCATTCAAGTGTCAGCAACCATGTAAATTGTGACGGGCTTTCCCATCAGCGTTCTATCGGCTTCGTATAACACGTTTGGAACAGATCTCGGTCACTCATTCAGAGAGTACATTGGTGTTAACAGGATGCATGACTTATCTGCTGGTTCTTCCACTGAATGCACTGCACACTGGAAGATTCACGCTTAATTGTGTACCATATCTGAAATATCAGTAAACATTTTTTCGAGATAGAATACTAGTCACTAGGTCACTGAAAACTTCAAAAGAGCGCTACAGGTTCCTCCTGCTTGGTGCTCATTAGCTAGTCACCGGGTTTCCACCAATCCTATGTTTAGCTTGAACACTAAATCGTACATCAGTGGGGAGTATCAACTGAACCGCCGTTAACACCGAAGCAATTATTAAAGCAGCGCGCTGCACGGCTTGCGTACAACTGGCTGCTTGAGCAGAAAATGAGATTGACGATAACTCAGTGACAATATCCAAATAATGAACCTCAAGCTGGGCAAGGCCGGTACTGGATTGTTGAAGGGTTTCCAGCAAACTTATGAGTAGGGTGCTCTGTCAAGAGTTCATGAGTGCTGGAGTTACTACCATAAGTTACAGAGAGTACAACCAACCGATAAATACACATGGTTCAGTGGTTAGAGCGAATTCACTGACCGGAAGGTCTGTGTTTTGAACTCGATCTCTACCTCTCGACTTCTCTTGTTTAGGCTTGGGCAACCTGGCAGTATCCCAGCATTTGTGCTTCCTCCTGGTGGCATGGCAGTCAGGCACTGAAATGGTGCTATAGCTGAACGATTTTTTATACATAGTGAATACAACCTCGCAACATCTGTAAATGATAAAACCACACGAGTAGTGGGAGTATTCAACCGACAGAGCAACACGTTCACGTTAGCAGTAATCTATCCATTTGGGATAACAATATGGATTTTTATCCAACGCAGCCGACAGAAACAGTTCTTATCGTTTAGTCAGAAACCGCAGGCGGATGTGTGACGAACGATGGGCATCTGTCCGATAGTGGGAATGATACTAAATCGGCATAAGAATTCAAGACGATATACGCAGTCTGCATGGATGTTGAATAACGACGTCAGACGCTGTGTGGTTTGTACAAGAGTGAATGGATATACAAAGAACATTGTTTCAAGTAAAAGTATGTGCAACTAATTGAAGAAAGCAAGGGCTTCTAGGGTTAATACCATAGCTTTTTGACAGTCTAGAACCAACAAGCGGGACTCATCAATTATCATGGGATTCCAGCTGTTTTGAAGGCTAATCCGGCTGAGTAAGCTAGCTTTCACTACTGGATCTCAAAAAAGACGGATTTGACCAAACCAGAATCGATCAATTATCCGATTTAATCTAGATCTAGAATCGCAGAGTGCTCATTAAAATTTACGAGGAGCAAATAGTGAATGAACGTAAACAAAGCGCCACCCGAGTAGCATGCCATGATCGAAGTTGATAGCAGACACACCAAGCTACACCTGGGTCATGGAGCCTCTTCGGCCCTCCACGAATTCGTGGTGACAAGTAACAATCTGATCACTCATCTCAATCCAGTACAGTTTGGAACTTACTTGCAAAATGCTCGATACAACCCGTGTCGATCGTGCGGATCCGAAATTTCATACTGAGCCTGAAATTGCGATGAATGACAGTATTCGCAGGTTTGATGCAAAACGCCTTGGTTAGAAAACAAGCAACAACAAAACGCACAAAATAAAAATGGTGTATTAGGATTTTTGAGATCAGTGTACATGAAATCACGATAACAATGGGACAGTATACTACATTTGAGAAGCACTCCTAATTCATGGTCGAAGTTGATAAGGTTTCAATGGGAGTAGACGGGTTTGTACAATGGAGTCTGAAAAAAGAGAAGAAAGTCGAAGCGATAATGAGCGACATGAAAGACAGTACTGGGGTTGAAGGAAAATACAGAACTCTTCGGAACAGGAGAATCCAAAGGATATTAAAGGCAAGAGAGCAGAGTTAATTTGATGATGCGATGTTGTAACTTGGTGCAGTCCCCGAGTATCCATCGACCTTATGGTCTATTTGAACCCAAATTGTAGGAAATTCACGAGGTTCATCATTTGTACACCCATTCGACTTTAGCAAGAGACTCAACTGACTCCCGGGCGAAGAATACCATAAACAAAGGGCTCAGATGGGATTCAGTTGGGTCTCCCGTTAAAAGCATATTCGTGCGCAAATGAGTGTAAATCGCGAAATTAGACAGCTGTTATCACTGTGGTTGAAGTATGAGGCGTTTCTCTCTTTTATCTTATATTCTCCTGTAACCCTTTCACTTTCATCGTTTACATTCACGTTTTTGCAAAAAGGATGCCAAACTGATGACCCCTAACATAAGGAAGTCATTTGAGAGATCAATGGGGGAGCTTTGGTCTCAAATGAAACTACAACTCCAGGTGAACGAACCGATGGTGTGCACAAGAAGTGCAGCGGCGATCGCGATGAGTCTCTCGCTAAACCAAATTTGTTTGCGAATGAGTGTATTCCGCAGAAATACTTCTTTTTCACCTCAAATTGCATAAAACAAACCGAAGCCAAATCAGCCAGAGACATCCCCACTCAAGCAGGAAACTACAACGTCCTGCTTCACTAGGCTCAACCAATTTAAACAGGACACCGGATACACGCGAAACAGTGCTGTGAAGAATTTCTGGCGATTTACAACAAACGCATGTGTCAGTGGACACAAGGGTTGTTTGGTCAGGATTAATCAGCAACCAAGCCAACCGGACGTGTGATTTGTTGACTTCAATCTGAGACGGAACAAGCCAAAGAATCTGTTTGAACAAGCAAATGAATTCGCTATGGTGGTAGCTGTCGGTTGAGCTATATCTCCAGAATATCCCATGCCTGAAGGTCGCTCGAGGTGGTCGAAACATAGAACAAATATTGGTATATTAATGTTGTCATTCCATTATAAATCGACCAAGCTAGGTTTTTCGATCAACGGTCAGCCTGCTAACACTGAATATCGCCCGCCCAATCGACAGATATGGAAAATGCTCAGGCTATGGAATCGGTCGGCAAACCGAGGCGCGTCCTTTTTCGAACTTGTCAGAATCATTTCGAGAAATACACTCAATTGTGAATCGATTCGGTTTCCACGAGACTCAACTGAATCGCTCGTTTATGATATTCTTCAACTGAATGTGTTGCACACAGGCCGCCTTATGTTTCAGTTGCCACGATATTCGATATATTGCAGTATATTTTCATAAAGGAATCCGGTCGCGGGCTGTCGAAGAGTTATCAGCAACCTTGTGTGTAGTTTTCTTTATCAAAACCACAATTTTTCCCACACACTCCGAAAAAATGGAGACTGGCAGAGAGTGTATGGCGGAAAATTATGCTTCACTGACAGGAACACAGATTACTGGGCATTTGTTTTTTTTTTAAAAAAAAGGTGACACTGTCTTGCTCGTTATTCACTTTGTTGTCCGAAATATTTTAAGTCGAGTTAGTAGAAGCACTCATAATTCTTTATTTACCTAAATTGGAGATGGCTTTGCGTACCTGTCGAAGGTCATCATCTGGTGCATCACCGATCCCCTCATGTTTGAATGTTTGTTACATGTCATGGCAAGCACAACGTTAGCCAAGGTACAAAGCACTCTGTGCACGGGGATCAATGTGGTCAGACTCTAACTAAAGTGAAAGCGGTGCAACGTTTTTGACGGGTGTATCAATCATTAGCATATTGCAGTAAAATATAAAGAGGAGCAGACAGTCCTCTATTTCCTACTGCATGATCAACCCTCCATAGATTGTACCTAATCTCTCCTGTCTTGAATGATGTGTCATATTCAGGATAGCTTCAATAGTTTGGGGACAAACGAAGAGTCTTGATGAAAAAAAGGGTCAGCTAAGGACGTGCGTGACCCATGAGTCGGGAATGCCATTAGATTGTTTGTCCCATACGAAACGTGCAACCAGACAACTATATAGGAAGAGTCAGACTCACCGAACACCCATGTAGGCTTGACACATATGGCCTCTGGAATGCTCTCACCGATAATGATGTTGGCAACCTTTTTTCTGTTTGTAGTCTGAAAGTGACCGATTGTGAAAAAACAGGATGAAGTGTGAGAAATGTCGAGTTACGGCATTCGTTCATAGTGAAGCAAGCTTACGGGATGCCCGGGCAAATTAGAACAGGGGAAGAGCTATATGAAGGAATGGGAAGCAGAGGTGTCCAGATGACAGTTTTGCAGCGGCATCCAGGGAAACAGATTGTAACCTCGACTAGGGGCACTGTTTACGCATCTATTGTGACAGCCAGTGAGCACAGTAACAAATATGGGTTAATGAGAACTAAATATGGAAAACCTCGGCATCACATGAGAGCATCAACCGAGAATAAGTGGAAAAAAGAGGTATCTAACAGGACTGCGATGCTCCCAAATAGTACTTACGATCATCTATCTCTGTAACGTGCCCGATTCGAACCTTGACCAAAAAGTTGATTTAGGGGGGATATCAACAGGTAGTTCATGCTCCTTCAAGTCGTTTCCTGATCTTGATCATACTAATTTAAGAGGGTCAATAGAATGGGGAGTTTAGTAAGCACCTTCCCATCCTGCTGTTCTGCTCGTACGCAAATGTATAGAAATCTTGCAATGAGAACCGCTCATCATAGATGTGGGAACATCTGCAAAGAATACTGCACCTTCCTAGAACTAGAACAAGCGTTTTGGACGCTAACTACAACTCGTGAGCAACAAGGTGAGATTTGAACAGAGTCAATCGGCCCGCATAAGGGAGCTGGTCGTCTGCTGAGCGGCGCGTGGACAACTGACCTGAACGAGAATATATTTCTCTACTGATGAAACTTTGAACGTTAACCCGAATAAGATGGTTCGAGTGAAGGGTTACTATTCCGAGAGTGGGCAGAGATTAGAAGCGAACCTAGAATAACAAACTGAACGGGAAACAAGACTAATGTAAATCGTAGGTGGAACCGTATGCAGGTACAAGAAAAACATAAACAGGTGACAATGATGACTGATAGAAAACTGAAATGAGTGCTAGGCAAGCGCACAGGAACCCTGTGCAGTCTGAATAGGTAACTGGCAATGAAACGTGACGAACAAAAATAAACAAGGTAATAAATAGGCTACAGGCGGTTTATAAGGGAATTTGGCCAGCAAATGATACCCATAGGTGAAACCCAAACAGTAGGTAAAAGCCAACACCAAAATCTGTAAAACTTGTCTAACACTTCGAGATAAATAGAGAGGCCTAGTCCAAGCTAACTGGATGGGCTAAGGTATACTGGTTTGTGGTACTGGTTTCGTGATTATTAACGAGGATACTGGCATTCCACCCTTCGCGAGACTCATCTGGTAGGCCGAAACCCGTCAACCTTATTTCCTACTGGGACACCAATCCGCTCATGTGTGGTCATAAGCATTAATTTGCTAATTCACTCGGTTTTCACAGTACTCAAAGAACTTTTGATACATACACAGACACTGTGAAACACACCCCGACACCTTAATTATCGTTAGAAAGAGAGATGTGACGCAGCTTTCGTGCAGAATATCATAAACAAAACAGATTCAGGTCAAATTCAGCTAGCTGAGCCTTTGACGTTTAGCTACTTATGAGTAGCTACAGGAAACTAGTCATTCGCCGATCAGAACAGACAAACTACAGGGCACCCTACAAAGTTGAACATGGCATGTGTAAACTGGACATCTCTTTCGAAACCCATTAGATTCAACGACTTCGAGACTGCTGACGAGCATGAAAACAGTTAATTGACTTGAGCCGCCTAAGTGGGTTGGTTCGGGGTATGAAAGCAAAACGATGTTTTTTAATTTTACTTAGAACGGATTGATGTAACAGCCGATAATATCAAGCGAGTTCGGAATTTGTGGTGGTGGGGAGGTGTGAAAAAAGGAAGTACAATTGTTAGTGACTGCGCAATATTGAATAGGTGGGTGGTAATTATGACAGTATGGGGAGCTGTGTGTAAAAAGGGTCACAGCCTCTACGGTGGCAATCTGTAGGGAAAACGAATAGGGGAACACTTACCGATGCACCCCNTAAAAAGGGTCACAGCCTCTACGGGGGCAATCTGTAGCGAAAACGAATAGGGGAACACTTACCGATGCACCCCCAAGGGTAAGTAGGTCAATTATTTCACGCCGTGGGGGGTTGCTTAAATGACCCACATAAATGCAGCCCACCTTCCGAAAGAGGTTCGGTAGTAGCCGAACGCGCGAACTGCGAGGAAGACCAGAGGGCTGAGAAAAAAAAGCGGACCGTTAATTGCACTGACAAATTTGGATGTAGCTGAGGCTACAGAACAGCGAAGGCAAGTTAAATATGACGGGGTCAAACCCTATCAAGACACAGTCTCATACGCCGGACGAGACCAGTGCTTGGCGGACATTTTATTTGGCTTCAAGAATATCACCCGGCGATTTGAAGGGAACAAACGCGTCTCTTCCAAGATTCTGCACAGCATCATTTTTTAAACCAAAGTAGAAGTAGGGACACACTTCGTTTAAGACGAAAGAAGGTAAATGGACCAGAATACAACGTTGGGACGGTCCAGTAGATCGCTTGGGCGGTGGTGAAATATATTTTCCAGAAAGGTAAAATTTCGAATGACATCTTCTAGGAACTAAATCGTTCAAGCCCAGCGAGACAAAAGAGCGAACCAGCGGATGGAGAACTAAATACTCACGATTAAGATAACCAAAAATTCCACTGAGCTGATTCACCCCCTGCCTCAAAGGACGACCACCGCTACTGGAACTGACAACCCGGATATGCTTGATGAATATCCGGGGAGCATGGTTAGTCTAATGAAAGCTATTGAAATTCAGGTGCTTGTCGGTAGTCGGTAGGGCTACACATCGGTATATGTATAAATCAAATTCGCCAGCAGTAAAACCAACTGAATAAACTGCCAGATATGTTGATCGCAAGCTACTCTATTACGGTCTCAGAACCATTCGAATCTGGACTAGTTTGTCCGAGTTCCGAATAAAATTCTCACTGTTAAAATGTTGAACTGCGTTTTGATTTTGTTTGCGGAACTAAACTCCGCGAGAGAAGTATGAAATCTCGTATGTTTGTCATCATACCGTCATTCCTGGTGGATGGAACTGTATGGCTTCCAGAAAAAAAAACTAATCAGACGCAGTAGTTAATAGAGTATTACTTTATCAATCGTTCAGGTGTAACACCCTTTCAGGGCCTGTCATGCCACCCGAAGGAAGCACGAGGGTGGGATAATGCCAGGTTGTCCGATCCAAGGTAGGGGTCGGGTTTGAACCACGGACCTTTCGGTAAGTAGATTTGCGCTCTAACCACCTTATCAAACCAGCGTAAGAGCAACGAAGATTTGAAGGAGCAAAGAAATCAGAGTAGCTTCCGAGTAGTGCGATCTTGTGCACAATACACGATTTCAAAAGTGAAAAACGAGGTGAAATATCATGAAAATGTATTGAAAATATATGTCCTTCAGTAAAACACCCAGTGAAATCAGAGAAAAATCAAGATCACCCGGAATTATTTCTGCACGCAAAACAGTGGTTTACACCGACTGGTCGGTTAGTTCGTTACGAGATGTAGCCAATTAAACTGACTCAAGATGTTGCTGTACCCAGAGGAACTTGGAGTAACCATGAGGATGTTCCAGTCTCATTGACTGAATTAGTGAAAAAATATGACTTTAAATTGTTTGCGACGTTTGTCCTGTTCCATATTAATTCAGTTTGTTTTACACGTTTGTGCCTGTACATGGTGTGCGAGATGATATCATACCGCAACTAAGTTGTTCTCTGTAATCCCCCCTCGAACCTACTGTTACAAAACATGAGGATGAATTAATAAGCAAATTTTTAGGCCCACTCCAAAAAGCCGGGTGATATTCAACCGCCCACTCTCCCTGAAAATCCTCACAGATTTTCTCGTTTAACTTTTGACAAGTGTGTAAGACAACTCTATGGCTGTTCCAAAAATCATCGAATCATATTTGAGGTTATAGAGGCGTTCACTCTAGAGCTTCCCTTGGGTGGACGGGAAGACTAAAATTTTGGAGGCCAACCACACTCAACAAAGTGGAGCCAGTTGTTGACGATACGAAGGATGAACCACTGCGTCATCAAGCTTGATTCTTCCAACAATTATCTAGGTAAAGAGTATTAGGTATTCCAACACCTGCAAGTGCGATGGGAAGATAATACTCCGAACCAGCACTTTCTGAATGATTCTTTCCATACAGACGCCAGACCGGGATATTTCTGTGCTGATTTATGCAAGTTCTCTCGATCGGCGATAAGGGTTGCCTACAAATTTCAAGGGGTAGAACATTCAGACCGAAATTAGTTGTTGACTGAGAGGCCGTTTGAATCCACTTTGTTCTAGTTGTACAGAAGTGACACATCATCTGAGGGTGATAACGCCGACATTAAGTGGTACATTGTTAAGTTTGACGCAACTAGCAAAGGAACTTGTGATTTGGCAAAGGGGAAGAATAAACAATGGTGAATAGTTAATGAGACTGGTGCATACATCCAGACGTTGGTATACCTAGTGTCAAGAAAACATGCGAGATAATCGAACGAGACAACGCAGTGGTTCACGCACCTCGTATTATCAATAAATGGTCTGTAGTTTGGATGGCCTAATAGTATAAAGGCACTAACGTCTGCTTTGAGGCGGGAATGGAGAAGCGGTCATTGTGTTACCCACGCAAGTCAGGTGTACGTGAAGCGAAGCGATTTGTAGTGGTGTTGAAGCGGAATAGCCCAGAAATCATCACCCACATTGCCGTCAACGGAACAGCGCCAAGGATTGGTCCCGTAATTTTGTTGCGTTCATTCTACACCACCTAACATTTTTACGCCAATTCACGATTCAATTTGTTACTTGTCTGCATCCCATCCACTGAGAACGAAGTTCCTTTGGTGAACGTGCATGGACTTATAGTGTTTTCGCTGAATGTACTCCATTTTATGGTAACCATGATTCGGTAGAGGTGTGTAGACAAGTCGACGAACTACGGTAAATGGCTACCACGCTGTAGCATGAGGATGCTCCGAGCGAAATACAATCCAAAGCCAGTGAAATTTGCACTGTGGAAAAAAAGTACTACGCAAAATTCCTTCTCCCAGATAAATGTTCTGGTACCATAAGGACAACCGATAGTGATATGTCAAAGTACAGGGCACATATTACAGAAAACATAACGCGAAGATGACATTATTAGTTCGATCCCAAGATAGGAAGTTGTAGTACACAAAACTACAATGAAGCGAAGGACGTCCAAGAGTTAAGTCGGTTAACCTACTCGGTATGAGAGTTCACTCAACCAAAGTCCTTGTTGTGCCGAATTTTTGAGCCAATCAACCGACACTATCTGTACTCCACTGAGCAGACCACGGAGAAGGTTGACTGTCCGCCGGAAGGGGTCAATCGTAACTAGATGGGTACACCGTTTCATACTGGTTGAATCAAGTGGGAAATGGGCAATGCCAGCAGTAGCACGAGAGCTTAGTAGTTTGTAACCAATTAGAGGACTGGACCGAACCAAAGTGCAGAGGAGGGTTTCGTCGCTGAAAAGGAATGGAAGAAACATTCTTCACATGAGAAAAGACCCCCAGTTTCTGTCATGCTGCTCAATATCAGATCTTTTCAGTTCCACAGAAGAGAAGAACGCCGATCTGGAGGTAAACACTTCCTATCGGTGTAATGCCTCCATAAACTGGATGGCCCATAGCTAATAACCGCTTCACGAGACCTGTTCTATAGGCCAAGCCAAGTGAAGAAAGTGAAAAATTATGAAAAGAATTGAATTCTGAAGCTGTACCATAACATGGCTTTGTCAGTGTATCAGAAACAAAGCGGCTAAAACGAAACAACCAGAAAAAAGATACTCGACAGTTCCCAAATGCAAAGAGTTCAACTTCAAGTGGAATAAAATTCAGCTCTCAAATAGTAGTAGGGACATGTTAATGATTCAAGTCCACTAGATGTCTTCAGACAAATATAATTATCGTCTTTCTCGGGAGTGTGAAGGTAGCGGTCCTCGTTGTCTTCACATTCTTCCTCTATCTTGAAGAATGATCCAATGGGGTGGTGTTCACGCTGCCCCATAGTTTAACTGGCTAACACTTGTCTCCTTTCTAAGGCAGACAGGGATTAATTATGCAGTAGTCTTTTGCCGAACCGCAAGGATTTATCTACATCTTGCCGGACTACATCTGCACGATGCGCAGCACGTACACGCTACAGATCCGGTGAGTAACGCTGCTTATGTAACGTGTATATGTAGAAATGTGGAAAAGAATTTAACCACCTGTTCCATACTACAGAATGGGTGATTCAAACCATTGCACATTCCAGTCATGCTTGTTGCCACAACCTCGTCTGAACAACCGAAAATATTGTACTAAGTACGTAGCCCGTCATTTCATTGGCTTGCCTATGCTCTTTTGAGATTCGGACTATCTATGCTAACAACGACTGAAAACCCGGTTAGAACGAAGGCGATCTGCTGAACATATAAGCCGAGAACAAGGCTTATGAGGGTAAGAGTGGTGTAGAGCGCTAACACTCCTGGGTTCAAATGCTAGCATGTACTCCTTAAATAATTTGGTGCCCACAGTCTTGAGATTGAAACTTAGCGAGTCGTGTGAACGCCGAAAAATATGCCCGTATAAGGATTGCTGGTTTACTTAGTTAAGCTTGCTGAAAGACTGTTAGTCTTCGATAGACAGTGAGCTCATTTTTTCCTTTCGAACGGTACTTGCCTGCTTGAACTGCTTTGTGATAATGGCATATCACAGCGTTCTGATGTACCAGATAAGGACAGTGGACATACGACAGATATAAACGGCTTGTAAAGCCTAGGTAGCGTTTTTACTCACCCGTAGTTTGTAACCGCATCGCAAACGTACAGAAAAGATGCGGCTCCCAGAGAGGAGAGCAAACTTGGTTTTGCAAAATACGGTAATATATATATATATATATACATAATATACATGTGGTCTTGAAGGTATGCAAGACCAAGACAGAAGTGGGCGCTAAAGCAGTGAATATTTTAACGATCTTTGGAGAAAATCGTGGGGTTAGTGAGCCCTTGTCATTGAATGTTGTCAATTTTAGATCGAAACCGCTTGTACTAGGAAAAAGTGGAAGTTGATGCAGACGAAGGCAGTGAAGATTGCTATTTGATGTAGGATAACTAGGCTTTGGAAACAAACACTCATCAAATAACGTGAACACAGGTTAACTAGCTTAGAAGTAAACCAACAAGTTTGGTTTGAGGCTAATTCATGTGAAGGTTGTGGAAATTGGGCGTGAGCCACATTATATTTGCATTAAGTGACCAACCCAGTCAAAGAACAGTGAATACTTCGTCAAAAAAAATCACTGTACAGTTGTATCGTGTTTGCAATTTGCAACAATCTGGTAGACAAACGTTTGAACAAGGTGTTGACTCCATTCAGAGGATACACAGGTCGTCCGGCAGCCAAGCCCCAACTATTGCTGGTGGCCTATATTCAGGGGGATTACTGGGGTTGGCTCACATCTTTCCTGTATAACTTTAAAAAACCTATAAACTGACAGGTGCAGGCTGATATTTCAATAAATAGTGGCGCACATCAGGAAACCTTGAGAAAGGATCATGGAACTTACTCTTTGCGAAGTCCTGTAAAGGCGATGACAATCTGACGTTGGCCATGGTGGTCAACGCTCTGATGTGAAAGTTCCGATGATGCTGACGAAGATAATCAGATAATGGATGATGGAGGGATTAGAAGAATTCCTAAAGACGACACAGATGTTTTTCATATTTTTTGGGGGAAAGTGTTTAACTAATTGGCTTCGTAGTAGCATTGTGAAACAGCTAAGACGGCTGATAACATCAACACTGAAGAAACACCAGTCGGGGAACATGCAAAGTGATGTAAGTGGATAAATAATAACTCTCGTGGGAGCTGTTACAACTAACCGCGCAGTGTCAAAAGACTCGGTCGTACGAGACCTGGTGCCCTTGATGGGTCCATCAGGTAGACGATCCAAGAGATAAAATATTCAGTTAAGAGTTACACGTTGGCAACGTAACCTATGAAACACGCGGCCACCGAACATTGTGGTGTGAACTGTTAATGAATAGATTTTCTGAACGATCCCTCTGCACTAACCTGATTAGCTCAAGTACGGGACGCAAAACCTGGCTTTCAACGAATCCATCGAATATCAATTTCAATTTGACCCGACTTTTGGTCATGTATTGCACTTGATTTTCTAGAGACCTTTTAGTTACTCTGGGTGGAGCAGGAAATCTTGTTGATGGATTACGCAGCGTACATGGTCGGTGGTCTATCTGCTGAAATGGATGGTTTCAGGTATCTCACCTGATGAAGTGACACCATCGACGCATATCGGTTGTGGAACCCGAGAGTTGGGTCATCGATTTGTGCGAGAACCGCTGAAGCTATCCTGTTGTAGGGCAGCTACCTATTATCAGCCATGATACAAAAAGGTGACTGTTTACACAGTTTCCACACGGATCCCTTTCAAACTTATCAAACCATCTTTTCACACAGAACCAACTACCATTTCATGCAAAACCGGAACAAGCAGTTTTTTGAAGCGAACAAGCGAAGTAGGGTGAATTGCAGTTCTTCAACTGTTGTTTAGGAGTGACTGTAGAGTGAGACTGGCTCAATCATCAACCCTTTCACTATTCTTCAGGTGGACCTCATCAAATAGAAACTGGGAGCGTCCATAAATGCGCGAAACAAACGATAACAGTAGCACGAACGGTAGACAGCACTTACCTGATGCACCACACGCACGTCTCACACGTCGTAGTTTGAAATCCTCCAAACTATTCCGACTCGTCAAAGGCTATAAAACATATGAGTATTGGAAATCTTTAAGAGCAAGCAGGAACAGGCCAGGAAGACAAAGTGCGAAACGATCGCGTGAATTAGAGAACGCGTTGTAGGAAAGGCGAATATCGAAAATAATCTTCAAAAGTCACACTGTGACTGATGTCTGTGGAGATATGAAACGGGCCCCAGAGTTTCTCCTCCACGGGGAGAAAACCTCGAAGGACAACTTATTTCGTTCTCAGTATTCCTTAAGAAACAACCTCCAACCCCAGAATCGAGGGACAGCGAACTAGTTGTTTGGCCTCGTCATGAGCAGAAGGAAGCCCATTTCACGCAATGCACAAAAGCTTTGGAGAACTTTTACCATGAACCGAACATATCTGACGCACAAACAAAGCAGCCGTAAGGCAGTGAAGAATCGGTGTTGCATACGCTGCTGGGGGTGATAATAAAGAGCATCAGTCAAGATGTGTACAAATTTCGACCTATGGCTGACGCAAATACAGCTGGGTGAAAGTCAGTAGGAGGGATCAGCTGAAGTGGTGAACGAGACATAGAAACATTACTTCTGAATTCGCATATGTATTACGCTTATGGACGACAGATGCTCTGGTCCCAAAAAGGTATTATCTACACCAAACACCACAGCGACAGTGGCCTGTCCACCTGATGATACCATCTAGATTGGTGATGAGACGCTTGTAATCAAACTGACCGGCTGAGCGAACAAACCAATGACCAAATAGTAGAGTGCATGAAACTCAAACTAAAGACAGAGTGGTGGACTAAATAAGACTTCCATAGTTTGAACAACAGCTCTTTCCGGGATGTCAGTGTAAACTGCTACAACAGTCAGTCCGGTTGAAGCGAATCAGAAAGAATCCACTGCAAAAACACTAACAGGCACGTGAACTCAAACTTGCCAAGTGCAGATGTGAGAGAACCAAGAAGAAACACCTGCTGATTTCAAATATTGTGTCCTCCGAACTGACCCGAACAGTGTGACGATAATACAATTGTTGCATCCATATGCGGAGTAGCAGCCACACCTCAAACAAAGCCGTTCAATGTGTCGAAATATTGGTAGCTCGGGTGAGTTTATTGGTTGTTGATCTGTTCACCGAGCCTGGCAATTAACTTGCAAACGTCTCGTCACCATACGAAGAGACGAAATCAGAACGCAGTTGGTGATGCGCAATCAGTGATTGGTAGCCGGGATGGGTTTTAGATAAGTTAGAGAACCCACAGTTAAGGTATTCATGACAGCGACCTCTAAATCGCTCACTGCCTTTGTATTTATCCTCCTCAAATAAAGCGGTGTTTCCTAAACAATTCATTTTTACTCCCTACCTGGAAATTTGTCAGCTTCGGGTTAGAAGTGAATAAGAGATGGTAAGCAGTGGCGACTAAATAAACAGATGACCACGGTGTGGGCTATTTCCGACAACCAATGGGGAATTTTTAGTACTTATAAGCTGAATTTACGCCCAATAAGTTGAGCTTCTACATGCTAACCAGCGCAGAGACGATATTTCGGTCATCGAGAATGCAATAGAAGCCTAGTAACGCGAGCAGAGTCAGTGAGCACAGAAAGATGACGCCTTCGTTCAATTCACAGGACGGTTTTAGACCTATCTGTATAACACCAGATGAATTATATTGAGGGCTTTTGCTATCCGGTAAACGAATAAGACAGGTAATGAGAGGTGCAAAATTGGGTTGAAATCCACCCAGCATAGTCCTACGCGAAATAAAAGTCACTCGCAGTATTAACCAGCAAACACGGAATATTTAGAAAGTTCGAACTCTTACTTTAAAGTCACACAAATTCATGGACCATCGCTTATTTGTCGTTAAGCCTACTGCGGTCAACGAGCGATCTGACAACTCGTCGGTAGTCAAGCCGTTCAAGTCAATGGGGATTTAAAGCAGGTAACGATATCAAGGCCAAATTAACCCACCGCGCAAGATTACCCGGCGGCAGCGGTCTTTCAGCCAATAGCAAGCTCATACGATGTGCTCCTCGAGCGAACGAGCCACTACTGGCAGAACCTATCAGTTAACATCATGATGCACAGTTGCAGCTGCAGCTCAGTCACATAAGGTAATTTTCATTGTTGCTGATGCTTCATGTTTCTTCGTGAACTCGAACCGTAAACCCATAACCACAAGCACCATAGATGGTATAACGACACTGTTCACTGGTGCTTCGCTGCCGTAAGAACAGCAGTATCTCGATTTCACTTACCCGCCCTGCTGTATGCAGCTAATAGGGCAACCCGGATGACGGCATCACGCGACGGTCCATGTGAAATGAGATTATTTGTAGCTGGGCAATTCAAAATTGTACGTGGACTGCCACGGCGCTCAAACCTAAACGGGTGGACGATTAGGGTCGTCAACCAAAGCTTTTAACTCAGAAGGCTGACCGGTTCGAAATGCAGAACAAGTCACCACACATTTTCCAACCCCCAACTTGGAGGGCTTGGAGGCCGTGTTGCGCAGACCTCTAACCATTAACCGACCTGGTATGAGGGACTGCGATTGTTGTAGGAAAACTCATAAGTATAGCTCAATGTGTTGCGGAGGTGCACAAACAGTCACACCAGGGTAAGGTCTAGTCTCTTCGTGAAGGTAAACATAGCCATACTCAAAGCGACACAAAATATTGCTACCAAATGATCCAGTCACTTTGTTTGAAAGTTTGTACAGTGGTTTCGACATTTCCGTAACGATGACAAAAGCGAAGCCTCTAGGTGGGTGTGCAGGTGCAAACATTCCACGTTTCCAATATCAGATATCTGTCTTTCCGGTACCTGCAGACTAAAATGGTGTGGCGAGGGGCGCATGAGACGGACACCAAGTCGTAAGTCTTGTGCTACACAGAATAGTCGAAAGGTAAGTCACGACAGATATATCGCGCTGCAAATTCTGGTATGTGGTACACAAACTCGACACTAGTACACACAGACCTGGGTACGCCGATTTCGACGAAGCCATTAACCATCACATGTGGAAAGAACGAAGTACACTAACAACGGTACGTGATAGCCGACTGTTGGGTACCCCTCTCAATAATCGTTCGTTCCAGTGAATGTCAGAGTCTTTAAAAGGCGATACGTAAGACAGAGATGAAGTGGTCCCCTTGGGGACTTTAGCACATGCTGAGAACGAACATATTATTTTGATGCTAACATACCTTTATCCCGAACGACGCTTTTGTGGACGACTTGTCATTCAGTGTTCGAGTATGGGTTTTACGCGACGCGACTGGCTCCGAATCAGCACCGCCTGGTGATGCGTCAATATCTACCGGGATGGACTTTCGAAGCCTGCACGCAACTCCAAGCTTGTGGGTATCACCTTTGTTACGTGTGTTAATAGATATTCGTTGGGCAAGCTTAGTGCGTTCGCTGATCTTTTCTGAAGTCCGGTAATCTGGTTGCTTAGAGCTGGAAGCGTCGGATTCAAGAGTTTCGTCATCTGTTGAAGCAGAATGTTCCTCCTTGTTGGGCTTATTTACATCTCGACGACGCGAAGTCGAAGGCATGCGAGCTACAACACGAATTACCTTTTTTCGGCGTTTCCTTTTAGCCTCCCCTTTGTGGATGACTGGAGTGACGGATGCTTCCACATTGGACCAAACAGTAGGCTTCTTCTTGGCGTTAACCCACTCAACCAGAGCCTCAGGAGTGAGTGGCGTACCCGGAGAGAGGCGTTTGCGTGTGGCAGGTAGAGTATGGTTGTTTGAAACCATTTTGAAGCGTGGGATGAAAGGATTGTTACAACGTGCCACGGGTGTGAGCAATTTCGTAGCGGGATTGAGTGGATTTAAAGGGGTAAGGTGGCGAGCCGTGTGCAGAGTGCCCTCAAAGACTGAGAGATCAGGTATGGTAGTACCACCATCTGTCGGTCCTCCATCCAACGGAATATGTGGGCAGTTATTCTGCACTTCTGTTAAGACGCCAGTTGAAGGGGAGATATTTTTTAGTGAAACCAATGGGAGTGGCGGCTGCTCTCCGACCACAGGTTTGATTTCCGCTAAAATGAAAAGAAGCCCGAAAGGCAACGCCACCGATATATATGAATACTACATATATATAT